TGACAAATTTTATTTTCCTGGGCTCCATGATCACTGCAGATGGAGACAGCAGCCACGAAATTAAAAGACGCCTGCTTTTTGGGAGGAAAGCAATGACAAATCTTGACAGCATCTTAAAAAGCAGAGACATCACATTGCCAACAAAATTCCGAATAGTCAAAGCTATGGTTTTTCCTGTAGTGATGTATGGAAGTGAGTGCTGGACCATAAAGAAAGCAGACCGCCGAAGAATTGATGCCTTTGAATTGTGGTGCTGGAGGAGGCTCTTGAGAATCCCCTGGACTGCAAGGAGAACAAACCTATCAGTTCTAAAGGAAATCAAACCTGAGTGCTCACTGGAAGGACAGATCCTGAAGCTGAGGCTTCAGTACTTTGGCCATCTCATGAGAAGAGAAGACTCCCTGGAAAAGATCCTGATGTTAGGAAAGTGTGACGGCAAGAGGAGAAGGGGACGACTGAGGATGAGATGGCTGCACAGTGTCTGTGAAGCAACCAACATGAATTTGACCCAACTCCGGGAGGCAGTGGAAGATAGGCGGGCCTGGTGTGCTCTGGTCCATGGGGTCACGAAGAGTCGGACACGACTAAACGACTAAACGACTAAACGAACGAACAAACGATCTGGACTATATTATACTAATGGGACGTCAGGGTGATGTATCAGATCAACAGTAAAAAATGAAACATGTCAGTCACCAGGCCTAGAAGAAAAGCCATTATTCAGAGCCTAAATTATAAAAGTGAAAATTAGTAGCAAGTGTTTTTTCCTCCTAAATGTACATTGTGCTGGACTTTTCCAACGTGAAGAACCTATATGCTGCAAAGTGACCACCTTGGTCTTTTGTAGAAAATCTGGGGAAAGGGTTGGATCTATTTACTTATAAATAAATAAATAAAAATTAGATCTAAGGTATGTTTCCATGAACAGAAGAACATTGGGTGTAGCACAGGTTTCTCTGAGTAGGACTAGGAGGTGATTCTCAACAATTGCCCATTATTCTGCACTCCATCTCAACACCACTTCAATCACTATTCCACCAGAGTCCCAGTCCTCGGAAGCAGACAGAGGGCAAATTCCTAACTGCGTGGCACTTCAGAGAAAAAGAAACCAGTTAAAAGACACGAACGGAGATCACTCTCTCATCCCCTGTCCTCCCTCGATGGCATAGACTATTATATTATAAAATTAGAGTTTTAAGACGATTGGAGTTCTTAAAGAGAATGTTTAATAGAGGCAGAGAACTTTGGTGTTGATAGGTAAAAACGGTGAACCCCCACCCCAAGTGCCCTTGCTGTGGGGAGAACTTTGGTGTTGATAGGTAAAAAGGGTGAACCCCCACCCCAAGTGCCCTTGCTGCAAGCTGCGAATGGTCGATTATAAATTAAAACTGCTCCTGGCTGAACTTGGATTTACAATTGGATGTGTTAAGTGGGAGTCGGGGTCTAGACTGACTCATTTAACACAAAGATGAACTGATTAATGGTTTGATTCTTTTATGGCTCCTAACTGAATTGGGAGTACAGGAAAGGGGGGAAGCCAGACTTTATGGATGTGATGCAAATGGGAGAGAATAGAGAAAACAGAAGCAGAGACAGGCCTGCTGGATTATAAGAAGGAGCAGTTAAATTTTTCAATTTCTTGAAGCTGAATTCTTTTACTTCTCAGTGGAAACTGTTATTCTACAATAAATCTGCATTCAAGAGGTAGAAAGGACAGACCTCAGTCAATGTACAAGTCCATCAAAATTTACAATGGAAGATGTTTTTAAGAACTATATACAGGAGTTTCAAATGAACATTGTCAATCAACTTAATAATTATATTAAAACCCAGACCCTCGAAATTAAGGCAGTAATTTCAGGACATAAAGAAGATAAAGAAAGGAATCTGCATATGGAAGACCATTTCACCAGAGCAGCGGAAGCAGCAGAAAAAGACACTTTAGAACCAAGATCAAAGGAAGATAAAATAATAGGTCTTTATGAGAGGAAGGTCCAGGTGGATGAGTTGGGGATTTACACTAAGGAGAAGATTACTCAAATCCCCGACTCATCCAACTGGATCTTCCTCTCATAAAGACCTATTATTTTATCTGAAACTGGTAGAATCCTATTGGAAACCAAACTAAATATATGAAAATATATTAAAATGAATGAAATGATATAAAATTTTCATTTATCTTCAATTTATATTGCAGGCCGTAAGGATTCTAAAACCCCTAGAGGATGTTTCTGCTAAGGTGGATTCCACTGCAATATTTGACTGTATTCTTGAACTCAAAGATCCTAATATGAAGATGACATGGATAAAGGTAACAACCTTAATTTATTTTAAATGAAGAAAATCAGAACATGACACTTTAAATAGCAAAGTGGATCTGCCATAGAATTTCTTCTAAAACCACCTTGTTGGCTAACTACTTCTGCAAACCAGTTACCTTCGAAGTAAGAAGAATGATAGTCAAAGAGAGAAAATAGAGAGCTGCACCAAAAATAGCTGTAGATCAGCACTGATATTCCTATTGATTCTCTGTCCCAATTTTTCAATGTCTCATTTACCTACCTCACAGAACGCTTTGCCTGCAGCATTTCTCCAATGGGTTTTTCATATCACTCGGACAGCCAGCTGAATCCATATGTTCTATTACTATCAGTATCAATTGCTCTGCAGCCCTGTATTTCTATAGTTATACAAAGGGCAGTTTGTTAACCATTATTCCAGTTTACATGTCATGTGACACCCAATGAGGTGCACTGACTAGAATATTCTACTGGGACTCAGGAGTCCTGAGTTCAAATCCCCACTTGGCCACCAAAGTCACTGAGTGACCTTCAGCCAGTCATACTCTCTCAACCTGATGTGCCTCAATGAGCTGTTGTAAGGATAAAGTGGAAATTAGGAAAGATGTTTATGCTGCCTTGAGCTCATTGGAGGAAAAGTATAAGTGGAGGAGGAGCATATAATTATACTGTTTACACATACATATGTCCATACTTCTTTTTTTCAGGACAGTGAGCCTTTGCGTCTTCAGTATTCCCTAGGAAAATATGAAGTAAAACAGATGGGCACGAAGTATATGCTGTACATCAGCAATGTGACTGAAAAAGACATGGGTGTCTACAGTCTTACAGTGGCTGATAAGCACCTCTCAGCAAGATTGCGTGTAATAGGTAAAGCAGATTTTTAAATGCATACAAGAAATACAAGTCATATCCTCAGCTTGTACAGTCACAGCCTTGTTCATATCCGTACAGTATAGGGGCTGAGGATCTGGCATATATTTTACAAAGACCTCCACTCGTTTGGACAAATATATATATAGTGAAAGATACTGTATGTCTCACTTCTCTTCCCTTCCCTCTCTTTTTTAACAGATGAACCCCTGAACTTTTTGGCAGAACTGAAGCCTTTGAAAGTAATGGAGAGGCAAACTGCTGTGTTTGAGATACGCCTTTCCAAAAAAGTGCCCAACTTTGCCTGGAAGTTCAATGGGAAAGACCTGAAGCGGGATGACAAGTATGAGATCATCACATCAGAAGATGGCTTAACCCATACGCTGAAAATTAAAGATGTTCGCCCTAGCGATCTTGGGGAAGTCAGTTTCGAAACTGGAGATCTAGTGACCAAGGCCAAACTTTTAATTGAGAGTAAGTGTTACCCAGTCTCTAAAATAGAGGCCAGATGTCTGTCAGTGATCTTTATGCACGCAAGTGAAATTATCTGAGTTGCAGCAATGAACTGCCACTAATTAACAAGATGCCAGTCATGTTGCTGTTACATGCTGGTCATGCAACTAGACACATGACCAAGAATGCACCAACTTCTCAATAATTAGTAGTTATTCATTCTCATAACTTAGAAGATTCCACTTATAGAAGCATAAACTGCCAAGAGGATTCTGGCTAGAAATTCTGAATCATTACCTACGTGTATCCCATTTTGTTTCTCTGAAAATTATTCTCCCAGTATCTTGGTAGTTCCTGTTTTCACATTATGTTCTGTTAATAACCTAAGTTGCTGGCTAAACAGATCTCATTTTAGAAAGTGAATGCAAGAACCTAAAGAGAGTTTATTACGTAAGATAAAAATATTCTGCTAATAAAAAACTTAATAGGGAAATAAAAATTGAAGTGGGGATGAAGGTAAAATGGATTGAACTAAAATGATTTGCACAATCAAGTTGATGAATTTCTAAAGGCAATGGAATGATCACTGTGCATATTATGATTCCATTCAGCAACTGAAAAACACAGAATAAATCAGGAGAATGACTTAGGGTGCAGCTAGACGGGCATTTGTCCCACGGTTTGGTCCAAGTTGGGAATGGACTGTTTTGCTCCTTTTCCCAGCAACCCCACACTATATGTGTCATTATGAACTAGCCTGTCCCTGATCCAGAAGGTGTTGAGCACTCCAGCACTGGAGGCATTCGGGAGAAGAACGGACAATCATCTGTTAGATCTGTTTCAACGTGGGTTCCTCCATTGAGCAGGGGACTGGACCTGATAGCCTCACAGGCTCCTTCCAGCTTAATTATTCCATAATTCTATTATTCTAATGCCTAACTGCACTTTTTTGGGTCCCTGTCAGGGGCTACTTCTTGTGGGTAGGATCACTCCACTTTGGTTTGGATCCAGCATGTGTGATCACTGGGATCAAACCAAAATGGATGACTTAAGCTCTTCCTTTGCTTAAGCTGCTGGATATTCTTGAAAAATTGAAAGCTTCTTTCCCGATCCCCTGCAGAAGGAAAGGAAGCATAAGTTTTTCATTTCTTTTTGATTGTTACAAGCTTTGAAAGGACTTAAACCCCTTAACCTCATCACTGATGCACTGTTTCAATTAAGTTGTATAGTCAGCAGTAAAGTTATCTAATTCTTCCAGAGTAATTATTATTGTGGGTTTTTAAAATAAATGTTGATCTGTAATCCCGCTGCTGCATTTTCTTCTTGAACCTTCATCAGTGGCTATTTCAAGTCTTTGCTGTTTTCTGCCAGTAGTATGGTGTCATCTGTTTCTAAAATGATTGGTATTTCTTTCACCAATTTTTACTTCTCTTTCATAAGAATCTAACATGGTCAGTTTTGTAGTGTCAGAAAGACTGTTCAGGGAAGACTACGGAGCTTTAAGAAATTCCAGGCATTTGTAATCTTATTTATATTTTATGCACGACACTTATTTGCTGTATGTGAGCTATTGTTTCTCATGGCAGTTAAGTTTAGATGGCATAAACAAATGTACATTCACCAGTCTCGAGCTTCTATGATTTTTCTATTTGTTTGACAGACAACATTAATATTACCAGCTTTGTCTGAAGAGTTGATTTCGAGCGTGTTTGCTCACTGCTGAATTCTATGCACCAAGTGTCTGCTGTGGATGCATGAGAATTCAGTTTGACTCGTTTTTCAGCAGAGTGTTCCCAAATCCGCAGATGTATTCATGAATGCAATGGAAAGAACTTCAGATGTTTTGGAAAAGAAAATTAAATATGGGAGAAAAACAAGCAGAAAATTTTGCCTGTCAAAACAGAGGGCGTTAGGTTCTTATCTCCTAAAAAGTTGGCTCTGGGGCTCTTTCCATTCAGCAGTGCTCCTCTCCATGTTGAAATGTACCAGTTCAGGGTCATTGCAGATGGCTGAAAATTCTATCTCATTGTGGTAATGTTATACATCCATCAACACCATAAATTAGATGGACAGAACTGTACATTAAAAATGAAAATAAGAGGATAAAACAAAACCAATAGATTGGCGTATCCCTTATGTCTCGTCTCTTCTTTTCTCTTAAGGAACGCCAATTAAATTTGTCAGAAACTTGAAGAATGTCAGAGTCAAGGAGAAGGGTAAAGCTAGTCTGGATTGTGAGCTGACTACTAAAGATGTTAAACTGAAGTGGCTGAAGAATGGGAAGGTAATTGAGAGGTCTAAAAAATTTACTATGATCCATGAAGGGAAGACAGCAGAGCTGATCATTGATGAGGCTGACCTGAGTGACACAGGAGAATATATGGTTATTGCCATGCAAGAAAATGACCCAACAGAATACTACAGCAATTGTAATGTGACCGTAGAAGGTAAGAACTACAGGCTCAAGAGAGTGCTTTGAAATATGACATGAAGCCAACTTAGGTCGGTGTCTGGGACCAAGCTTGGTAGCATTGCTTTTTTGGACTACAGTTCCTCTGCAACTGTTGTCTGAAAAAGTAACTTTTCCAAACTCTGCTATGAGTGGTTATATGTGTATGTTTGGGATGAGGAGGATTTGGTATTGTCCAGCTTTTAATGTCTTAGCGCCTAATTACATCCACTTGTTTGGAGTTACAGAATTAGACCTCACTTTTCTTTATTTGTGGAGCTGAATTAAAAATGTGTTTCCCAATTGCTATAGGGAAAGACAGAGGTTATAAAGGAAATGTTTAATGTGGGGGTTATTTCTCCACATTTGGCCTGGCTTTCTTTTAGGAGAGACAAAGTGTAGATTAGGATAGTGACCACAATAACAAAGTTCACAAAGGTGCTTACAATAGTTCTGAGCACACCTATCCACCCACAACAAAAGAAATTCATTGTGACATATAGACTATATAAAACATCCCTGTCTAGTTTCCTGGAGCCAATTCCTGCTCGCCATAGATGAGTGGTCAGGATGGCACATGCAATTCTCCCTTGCCTGCCATGTTTTGCCTTCCCGGCCATCTTATTAGGTTGGTAAAGTGGAGGGCTGGTTGGCCAAGTTCATTCAATGAATGTCATGGCTGGGCGAGAATTTGAACCAGGGTCTTCTGTGTCCCAGTCAAGTATTCTAATCACTACATTGCACCAGCTTTCTGGACATTGCTAAATCTATTGCTCCTTCAACAGCTGTGTGCTTCCACTATGCCACAAATGTGGAGCACACAGACTTATAGGGGTTAGAAGAAAGACTGGCCAAGATGTGTGATGGGATTCTCTGATGTATTCCCACTCTCATAAAGCTACAGCCTAAACCTATTAGCACTGAACATCAATATATAATGGAGGTATATACACAAACAGAGAGAGGAATGGAGAGAGAGAGAGAACTCTAACTATTGCACACGTACCCTGTCTCTTCTCAATTCATACTGGATTTGGCATTTCCTATTCTCAACCTTCAGTAAGGGTAAAGGTAAAGGTTCCTTTTGACAAATGTCCAGTCATGTCTGGCTCTAGGGGGTGGTGCTCATCCCCGTTTCCAAGCCATAGTGCCAACGTTTGTCCAAAGACAGTGTCCGTGTTCACGTGGCCAGCGCGACTAGACCCGTAACACCATTACCTTCCCACCGTGGTGGTACCTATTTATCTACTTGCATTTGCTTGCTTTGGGACTGCTAGGTTGGCAGGAGCTGGGACAAGTGATGGGAGCTCACTCCGTCGCATGGATTAGATCTTATGGCTGCTGGTCTTCTGACCTTGCAGCATAGAGGCTTCTGTGGTTTAACCTGCAGCAGCACCACGTCCCTCTTCTCTGCCTTCAGTACATGCTTTAATTGGGTGTTTCACTCTTCTGAACACAGAGAGATTTGCTACAGTCAAGAGTGGCTTATCAGATGTCCAGGCTCGAACAGGGGACCCAGTAGAGCTCTGTGTTGTCCTCAACGATGAGAAGGTAGAAGGAGTATGGCTGAAGGATGGGAAAGAGGTAAGCTTTGGCAGTGCAAAGGGGTGGACTTGTTCGCCAGTGGTTGGTGGAGAAGACTTGGAGGATCCTCATGTCAGCTTTGAGGGATAGTCACTACAAGCTCCAATGTTGAACTGCCTGTGCTTGGGCATGTATTTATCCTCCAGTGAATCTCCAGTGAAGCTCTTTTTTTGTACTACAACTCCAAGAATCCCCTAGCCACCATGGCCATTGGGTTTGATTGATGCTGTCTTTGTACAGTTGAGGTGAGACTGCAAGGTTAGCAACCACATCTTCATCTTATTGAAATAGGTGCTAACTGTTCTTAGGAATAGAGTGGACCTTTTAAGCAAAGATGTATGTCAACTATGCCCAAACAAAATGGCAGGCGTTGCTTTAGCCAATTACAGGTGGACAGAGAGATTGATCTAATGGTAGGTAGAGCCAGGCCCAAGTAATTCTGGCTTTGTCTCTATCTTCCTTGCTAATTACAATGACAAGACCTGCAGAACAATTCTTTAAAATCTAACTGAACTGTAACAGTAATCAGAAACTGGCTCTGCAAACACCTTGTGACAGCAGCACCTTCCTTTCCTGTTCTATCACCATTTTGCAAACATAGAAGCTGAGAATTCTGCCACCAGATAACGTGGCAGCCCTCCAGCAAGCATGCACGTGGAATAACCCCAATGTGTTATGTGGAATCAGCATAGCCCAATGGGGAAGCCTGTTCCTTCCTAGAATGAAGGCAATGTTATTGAGGCAGCAGTGGGATGGAGCAGAGATGAGAATACATGGCTGCGTCAATGTCAGAGGGAGCCATGGATGTTGGGAATCGCAGCCACAGAGAGGCATAGCTGTGGGCAAGCAAGCTGCCTGTCCCTGCTTAGGACAATGGGAGAGCAGGATTGGTAGACTAGCATGAGACCATGGCTTATCACTTTCATCTTGAACAGTGAGTAGGCTAAAGGTGGCCTTTGCGGCTCTTAACCCATTTTAAAGGCATAATCTAGGCATCTTCTCTTCCACTGTAACAGTTAAAGGGATCCTGCCATTCTCAATAGGAAGTGTGGGATATTTCATAGATAAACTAGTAGTAGGAAAAGGCACTTCTCCTCTCTTGCTGGTCATCTGATTGTTGCATCAAACACACTTGTGCAGATGCCAAGACCCAGGTTGTCTGTTGCCTATAGAGGGAGCCAAGGCACACGTCTCCTCCTGCCCTTGCATCTTGTATTGTGTTCTGACATATTAGAATCATGGCTTTGAGGCCAAGGGCTATACTTCTTATTTCACTGTTTATTTAAGGTAGTGAATGCCAGCAATGCCACCCTTTTTCTATAGAAGTCTCCTGCAGCTATATAAATATTTTGTTGCTATTCTATTTCATTTTGGTCTTTGAAACCTCTGAAGTCCCTTCTCCTTTTGGAGTACAAACTTAGCATTTAAAAAAAAATTAAAATCACAAATATGGCTATTTGTACACGAAAAGCAGGAATGCCTATATGCAGGCACGTGTATAAAGCTTGGAAAAGTTCCTGTTTAGACCACAGCTCCCAGAATCATTGCATGGAACTTCTGGCAGCTGGTGTCCTAAGGAAAACAAAAACAAAAAGCTTCTCCAATATTTGTATATGTGTGTGTGTGTGTGTGCGCATGCATGTGCACCTGTACAGAACTTGCGAAAGTTACTTCTGTGGAACAAAAGGGTCCTGAAAACCCTGGCTAGGAGCTATGGTTCAAAAAGGAACTTTTCCAACATGTATGTCTCTGTGTGTGAACACACATACCTTATATCTATGAACTGAAACCTCCAGAGTAACAAACAAAAAACCAGTAGAAGCTGTGGCCCAACTGCTCAGAAATATGACACCTTCTCTAAGATGGTGTCAGAGGGTGTCCTGTTTGGTGTTAGAACTCTTTTTTAAAGCTTTAAAAACCTTTCATTTAGATTACAGATATGAGAGGAATCCAGATTATCAAGCAAGGGGCTGTCCACAAACTCATCATTGACAACATGGGAGAGGACTCCGAAGGGAAGTATACTTTCAGAGCAAAAGGGGCCGAGAGTGAGGCCACCGTCAGCATTGCAGGTACATGACTGTGTTTCTTCTTGGTGCAATCTACTTTGTCCTTTTTCGTGCCCGCCTCCCTCTTTAGCTTCTGTTCAGGCTTCCATCTCAAAGGCATTACTTGGCACATCAGCAATTGACCCAATAACTATGGTCTTTGCGTTCTTTAGGAGCACATAAAAACCACTAACTGTTGCATTTGTCTTAAAATGCAGCTTCCTGAAAGTAGCAGCTTTTTATGTTTAGAGGAGTAGATTTCTACCTTTATGACAACAAAGATAAACCTGACAGTATGGGGGCAAATTCAGTTTACCTCCTCAGAAGCCGAAGGGATGGCTGAATAAAAGATTCCCAGTAAACAAGGGTCGAGATTTCATATTGTTGCCCCACTTCTGTCTAGCAATTATGCAAAAGAAGCAGCATCGTAGAATATATATTACAAAAATAACAGTGATAATGCAGTTTCTCCATTTTGCATAATCTGCCGCAGGAATTGCTGTTTTTCTTGATGTGGCGTTTGAATTGCCTGGGTACAGAAATTATTATTTCCCACCTCTCTCTGCCAAGTACTCCTTATTAAATTATTATTAAAATGTAGCCCAAGCTATCGGTCTATATCCAGAAGGGACCACTTGTTTTATCCGCTTTGCAGTAAAAGTAGGGCCATCTTCTCCCTATTAGTTAGGGAAGCAGCCCAACCTTTCTTAAATGCCAGCATTTATGAAAATCACAATACATTGTGTAAAATTCCCCCTTAATTAATTCTGCTTCTGTAGGCTATGAAGAGGGATATAATGGTTGGATGATACAGTGTCATTCTGCAGCTGCTAGAAATCCTGATAATCTCTCTTTCCCTCTGGCTTCTTATATTTTAGAATGTCTCTATTGTCTTAAGGACTAGAATTGTGTCTTTTCTTTCCAAGACCGAACACAGAAACTGAAATACCAAGCTCAAGCGTCTATATTTGTTCCGAGCGTCTGGTAAAACAAATGGAATAAGCAAAGTATTTACAGCTCTGTTTCCATACCTAACATGAGGGTGTTGCATTGTGACAGCCTCCCAAAAGAGGTGAAGGTGCCTGAACAACATTTATCATTTCTAAATCTCTTCCAAGAACATCTTAACACTAGAATTTTACTGCTGATGAAATACAGTATATCATGGCAAGAACCTAAACTGGTGAAAGCCAAACAGTGAGACTTACCTATAGAGGAATATTCCTCATAAGCATTTGGGACCATATTGGTTGTTGTGGGTCTTTTGGGCTCTTTGGCCGTGTTCTGAAAGTTGTTCTTCCTAATGTTTCACCAGTCTCTGTGGCCGGCATCTTCAGAGGAACCATAATTTGGGACCATAATTTTCAGGTGTCGTTTCTCACTTCTCTTCCCTGCCCCAGATCCTCCATGTATTGATCCATCTGTGTTAGAAGCTTTAGCAGCACACCCAGTGACTGTGAAAGCAGGGCAGACTGCTCACATCAAGGTGCCCTTCAAGGCCAAGCCCTTGCCCAAAGTCACCTGGTTCAAGGATGGCATTGAGATGACCGAAGAAGAAAGGGTGGAAATGGAAAGAACCAATGACCACGCAATCCTCACCATCAAGCGCTGTGTGAGGGAAGACAGTGGAGCCATTATGCTGAAGCTGAAAAACGACTGTGGGACAGTCACTGCTCATTTGCACCTCAATGTGATTGGTAGGTCCTGAATGACTCTTAAAGGCAACATCATTCTCAACTTTTTTTGTCACTTATCAGGTTCCAGGACCCCCTGTCAAACAAGGATATGACACAAACAGATACCTTTCAGAAATTTCTCCCATTTTTCAGTCTGCATCCCCCTTCAAATGTGCCAGGGCTCTAAAGGCGGCCATGCTAACTGAGGGTAAGAACCACTGTGTCCAGTGGGGCTTACTTCCCATTAAATGCAGACTCAGTACCTTAAGAACAGTGAAAATGGATTGGAACTAGACTTAATCCTGCTTGTAGTGTTGCAGCTGAAATCAGTGGGATGTAAATTAATCACATTAAATCAAGGGGTTCTTGATAAGATTTCAGTGAGTTTCCTACAAGGATAACTAAATCTGGATCCAACCCAATGTATCATTCTCATGCTTTTTATAGTGAAGGCATGTCTCCTTTAAAAGTCTGGCCTTTTGTACTGTTATTTGGAAGTAAATCACACTGTATTCCATCGAGGTTACGGTCAGAACAATATGCATAGGAGTCCAGCCTTATTGTATGTTTGCAGCACATCGCCAACCATACTGAGCTTCATTTTGTTTTGGTCCATTTCTGAGCACACATGCTCAAACACATACACACAATCCTGTGCTCTGCACACATGCACATCCTCCTTAATACATTCCATAGGCCGTCATGAACAAAGGAGAGGGGCCTCGAGGTGAATTCATAATCTTTGCATTTGTGAGGGAAACAGCTGGGATTTGTTTTTGTTTTTTTTAATGCTAGCATATCAGGCTGCTTTAAATGTGATGTCAGGCTTATCAAATGCTGAACAAATTGTCTTCATGTGCAGTATCAGCTCAATGAAGATCTCTGATCTGGTTGTGTATATCAGTGACATGGTAGATCTTCATGCATAGGCACCAGTAACCTGGTTGAAACACGACTGCCAAGAGCATGCACAAAATGTCCCCCTGGCATATTGTTTGCTTGTTGTTTTCTTCACATGCTCAATGTAATATTTTGTCCAGTATCAAATGGTGTGTAGGTGTAATAGCACATACTAATCACCCCAATTATTTAAAAAAGAAAATAGTTTCTGACATGTTCTGCCTTCTCATTGCGCTCCCTGTGCTTCAGATAAACCAAAGCCTCCACAAGGAAAAGTTGAATTTCTGGAAAGGACTGGGAAGTGTATTAAAATGAAATGGAAAGCCCCTAAAGACAACGGAGGCAAGAAAGTGACCCACTTCATTATTGAACGCAGGATGGCTGGGAAGAAATCCTGGATCAAAATTGGGGAAGTCGACAGCAAACTGACCACATTTGCCGCAGATAAAGTAGAAGAAGGGAAAGCCTACCAATTCCGGATCCTGGCTGTGAACTCAGAGGGTGCAAGTGAGCCACTAGAGACGGAAGAAGTCTTTGCTGGGGAACCTATTGGTAAGCACCAGACTCTCAGATCAGATTGCAATGTGGTTTGCATTGTTAACACCCAAGGCATCCCATTTGCCACTAGCCAGGGTTAAGGCTGGCCTCATGTTCAGATGGGACAGCAAACCAGGAGAATGGCTTAAATGGTCTGTTAGGAAGATGAAACTCCTAAAACCTGATTTGATAGTAAACACCCAAGTGATCTGCACATTTGCCAGGAATGAGCATTTACCTGGGATGTGTTGACCGAGGGAGATAAATTGTAGAGATTTGCAGCATGTTATCCAGTTCACTAGTCCGGATCAGCTAAAATAAAGTGATTTGAATCATAGTATCTTTGGTCTATTTTGATGACTATATCTTCTCTCTGTATTACTCACTTATATGTTGGAAAGGAAATTATTAGGTAGGGGATCTGCTAGGATTTCTACAACTCCCCATGATAATGTAAACCAGAACAAACCTACAATACATAAATAACTCTTATGTCATGGAACAGATGCAGTTATATGCATCTATATAAATGATTATGTTGCCATAACTTAATATTGCATGATGATAGCAGCAGCAGGAGCAGTTTTTCAGAAATTAAACATTTCTAACATCTGTTCAGAGGCTCTCATGAAATACCTTTCATTGTCCTGAAGCCATGAGGGCCATAGAATAGGAGGAATCATAGAATCACAGAATATTTATTTTGAAGAAATTTCCCACTTCTTTTATTTGCTTTTGAAAATCTTTATTTTTTAAAAAAATGTATTTAATCTCCATTGCTGAACTTTGCAAGATGTCTGTAATTGCAGTAATATTAGACTGTGGTCTGCAAAGGTGTTTGTAAGGATTTCTATTTCCTTAATCAAATTTGTCGAGATCCAGCAGGCATCAATTCCTGACCATCTTTTATATCTATTTGAGAAATGTGTATAATATCTTTGTGTCGGATATTTTGTTCTCCATCCATCTACAATATGTAATTCTTCTGCCAATTGTAATATTTATATTTTTGGAATCATATTTCTTCTCCCCCCCCCTTTTCTCCTTGTTCTGTAGAGGTATCTAGTTTTCTATCAAAGACTACATTAAAGTCCCCCATGATGCAATATTCCTGATAATCTTTGATAGGGAGTTCTTTTTTGTAAATATATGTAAAATATTTCTTGATTTTCATTTGATGCATATATATTCACACTCAGTATTTTTTCTGATTCTTTTTGTATTTCCACCATTAATATTCTTCCATCTTGTGATTCATGGACCAATTTAGGGTTTAATTCTTTCCTTATATAGATAGCCAATCCTCCCCGCCCCCCAAGTCTGATGCTATAAATTTCTCTCCATAGTCCAAGGGCAGTGTATAGTTTGCTTCTCCTTGGTAGCATGTGCCTCTCACTATGAGGGATGGTCTGAATGTTCTGTGCCAGAGGTCCTGTGGAGGCACAAACATCTGTTTCCTCTCCCACTCCCAATATCAAAAGCTCCTTCGGTTCTGCTTTTTATAGTTTGACAACAAAGGAGGTCACTACAAAATACTCACACCTGCAGTTTAGTATCTAAGTAGAAAAGCTTCCTCCTCTTATTATTATATCAGCAGAACTGCCTGTCTGACATTTTTGTGTTGGTGTCTATCACTGTTGAAGGTTTTTTTTGCTTTAATCCATGGTTTGTACATATACAGAAAACAACAAAGGATGAAAGGGAAAAAAAACTACCTCGGGTCTTGGAAAAGTTGTTTCTTTCAGCGGCACCTCCTACGAGCATCCCCCAGGAAGAGGCTCTTCTTACACTCTTCTCCTGATGGTTATATTCTAAAACTCTTTTTCAGCACCTCCAGGACAAGCCTCTCAGCCTCAGGTTACTGACGTTACCAAAGATACGGTTACCATTACCTGGAATCCTCCACCGAAAGATGGAGGTGCCCCAATTCTAGGATACATTGTGGAGAGGAGGAAGAAAGGCAGCAACCTCTGGGTCCCAGTGTCTAAAGAACTAATTCAAGGTCAGCAATCTATTCCCACTCCCCTCCCCCATGTTAATTCCCCCCTTTGTGCAGAGTGAAATACTCATCTCAGATGGCAGAGAGTGGCTGAAATCCATAGCAAGCTACAGCAAGAGTAGGCCAACTGACTCAATGGACGTTACAGAGAAGTTGATTCACCACAGTGATTCAGTGAGTCTACTTTTGTTGCAATTCACTACTGGATTTCAGCAGTTTCCAGAATGTGCCATCTGGAAGAGAGAGCTGTTGGCCATGCAGTCTGCCTCTGCACCCCCTCCCCCCCAGGGTTGTGTACAAGGGCCGCCACTGCTTGCTTGCTTGCTTGCTTCTTTCTTCTTTGTCAGAATTGGAAAGCTACCGCAGAAGTCTCTGTAGTAGCAGGCTGTGCCGTCGGCCACAAGATGGCAGCAAAAACCACCTCCTCCATTCTGCAATCCTGAGTTTTGTTTTGCTTTGCTATCTGTTTTGTTTCATTTTGTTAAATGCCTTTAAACAAGTTCTAAAAGGAGATTACTGCTTACACATTTTTTCTGTTCAGGAAACATTCTTGCTTAGTCATTTTGCAACATATTGTTTTAAAACCTTCTTTCTGTTTTGAGATACAAAATGCAAAGTGGATGGCTTACTGGAAGATACAGAATACGAGTTCCGTGTCATACCTGTGAACCGTGCAGGACCTGGACAGCCAAGCAGTGCTTCCAACTCAGTTGTCACAAGAGATCCCATCAGTAGGTGTTGAATCTTAATTTATTCCTTGTGTTTAGCAGATAATTTGTAAAACACCCGGCTTCTCCTGATGAGTTATTGCCATCTCCATAATCAACTGAATTTCAAGATATAGCAAGGTGTCAGGATTGACATATGTGATGCTTTATAGAAAACAGGAGTGGCAGGTTCCTAATGGCAATGTAAAACAAGTGCACAGAAACTGCAGAAGGCAACAACGTTGCTGACGGAACAGAATGCTGGCTATTAGCTTAAATTACACAGGCTTCCTTTGGTACACATTGGACTACATGAGTGTTTATGGCTCTTTGGGAGTTGTAGTCCAAGATATTTGCAGGGCAGATCAGGGAGGACCAGACCCGTCCTCCATGGCCATATATTTGCAATGTGTCCCACAAACGTAGAAACCAAGAGGTGGTCAAGTGACTCGCCAGGCCACTGGGGAGGAAAAATAGGGCCCTATTATGGTGAGATAACACCTCCTGGTCCTACCATGAAGTAGCTCAGCTGCAAGGCCACCATATTTTTCAAAAGGAGATGCATCTCAGATTGGAACCAAAAGAAAGGAGTGCTGGTAGTGTCACTCGTCATGAATACTGGCCCAAGTCAGGGTGATGGTACAATCACTACTGATGTTTTCTCCAATTCCAGAGCCTCCTGGACTGGTGAAGGATTTGCATGTAATTGATTCTTCCAACTCAAGCATTTCCTTAGCATGGCAGCAGCCAGATGAAGGTGATCCTCCTTCAGGATACATTCTGGAGATGCGAGCTGCAGACACCAAGGAATGGTCCAAGTGCAGCAAGATCCCAATATCTGGTAACAGCTACACCGTGGGAGGACTTCAGGAGAAGCAGAAATATTTCTTCCGGATTCGTGCAGTGAATGAAGCTGGAGTGGGAGAGCCCATTGAATTGAAGGAAGGGGTTTTCGCCATGCCCCCTCCAGGTAACAGCTGGGTGGTTCAGTACGCATAAAATACAATGTCAGAGTAGTGGGGGGGGGGCTCTGCTGCTCTACAACATAATGATACCACCTCTTTGGGTGGTTGCTGCTAACCTTCCCACTCAGACTTGGAATCTATTCCCCATATATCATGTGATTGCTGGGAAATAGCTCACACGATGCACCACACAAGCAATCCAAAATCTGGGCCACATGCCTCTGTGATCACACCCTAGATCTATGCCTTTCAGTGCCTAGATGGGAGACTATTGATGGGAAAATATCTTGAGCTTGAGGGATGGAGAAAAGGAGGGACAGATGAAAGGTCTGTTGGATTTCTGTGTGGAAGCTGGCTGCCAGGAATAAATATCAAAGGCAATCTTAACTGAAGGGAAACTATTTGTTAAGGAAATTACATATCCGCCAGGCAGAAGAGGATGGGGTTTACTGTAACATCCTTGGCTGCCTTTTTGGAAGAAAGGCAAGCTTTAAATAAAGTAAATAAATAAAATAAACAGTATGACTATATGACGAAGCGTCAAGATAGATATTAATGGGAAATGTTCATTCCCCGTTGTTCATCTTCTTCCACCCCTAGATGTAGATGCCCCAACGATCAGACAAGTCCACGTTAGCCTTCCAGAGACCAGTTACAAAACAAAGTGCATTAAACAAAATGTCTAGGAGAGGAAAATCATGTGCTCTGAGAAAGTAGTAAAGTGAGAAACTGAACCGGGATTTTTCATATTCTGGACCAACTTTGTCATCACTGATGAAAGCAGTTGGAGAAAGGCATGATTTTCCCCCCAGAATAACTGCCTGCCTAAATTGTGCTATCCATATTCAGGGTAGCTATACAGTGGGGTCTTGACTTGAGAACTTAATCCGTATTGGAAGGCGGTTCTCAAGTCAAAAAGTTCTCAGGTCAAATCTGCATTTCCCATAGGAATGCATGTTCTCTGAGAAAGTAGTAAAGTGAGAAACTGAACCGGGATTTTTCATATTCTGGACCAACTTTGTCATCACTGATGAAAGCAGTTGGAGAAAGGCATGATTTTTCCCCCCAGGATAACTGCCTGCCTAAATTGTGCTATTCATATTCAGGGTTGCTATACAGTGATGTATAGCTGGTGCCTTATGTGGGTGATGGGCAGAGGGCACAGCACACAGGCAGCCGAAGACTGGACTGACAGACAGAGCTAGGGGCAAAAGTGAATGTTTATATACACGATGGTGAACAGGGTGAATGGGCTGGCAAGTAGACAAACATCTATAAAGCAGGAGGGGCCTTGACGGATACTTTGTTTTAATGAGGTAGCTAAAAGTGGGCAGGCCGGTGGTAGCCTGCATCTAAGATATGGCAGCTCCCACTTGCCCGGATGGACGCATCACTATTCCTGCTATGGCTGTGTTGAGATAAAAAGAGATAAGACCCTGGGAAAGAGTTCTTTGGTCTCCAGGGTCGTGTCAAGGTGGTCCTGGCTGCTCGGTCACCTCTTCCCAAATGAGCTGAGCTGAGCTGCATGTTCTTTGCAGCTGAAGCGGCATAGCAAGGAACCACAAGGCACAGGCTTGCCAACTGACAAATTGTTGGTATTTATTTCTGTCTATTTCTCCTTCGTGTTGCTGGTGTGTCCTGTAGCTGCTCCAAAGTTTGATCTGAGCGCCAGACTGAAGAATCACATGGTTGTTCGTGCTGGGACTGCCCTCCGCATTCATGCCTTCTTTACTGTGAGTCACCCTTTGCACTTCATAATTGCTGCTTTCTCTATGGAGCAAATTATGCATTATAATCTTGCCTTGCTGCTAAGACTTCGTAATGCCCCTCCACGCCATGATGTTCTTCTGAGGTTGGATGTGTACACCACAGTTGAACTGAAGGTGGTATGTGCTATGAATATTTGCATTACAATATCCACAAAGTACGTGGTGTCTGAGAGAGAGGAAGCATATGGGGCCAGGGAAGGGAAAGGGGTGTTCTCCACTCTGTTTGCCGCTCATCCCAATAAAACTGTCAGGAAATGTATGAGCAACTGGTTATGGAGGAACATGTTTTTAGCAGATTCCAGGCCCCGCAAACCCCCACCCCCACACTGGGAGCATGGTTGAAGACTCAAGAGGGCCTAAAAACCAATCTGTTGTAGCCCCGATCCACTCCTTTCTTACTCCTCCTCATTGCAGCTCCAACACTGAATAGGTAAATGATGCAGAAGGTTTATTTTATTTATTTGTTTATTTGATTTATACCCCACCCATCTGGCCTAAAAGACCACTCTAGGTGGCTTCCAGTATAATATAAACAAGGTGGCTTCCAGTATAATATAAACAAAATAATACAAAAATTACAAAAACCATACTATAATATACACAATACAAAAACAGAGTAGAAAATAAATAAAGAGAAAATAAACAGAAAAATCAGGTATTGGCTGGAGGGAAGGCCTGAATGTATAGCCATGTTTTTAATTTACTTTTAAAGGTGCCCAGTGTGGGGGCTGCATGAATGTCAGGAGGGAGATTGTTCCAGAGGTGAGGAGCCACCGCCGAGAAGGCCCGGTTTCGTGTCTTTTCCTTCTGGGCCTCTCGCGGCATCAGGAACCACAGCCTCACCTCCTGGCTCGCACGGGTGATCTGGGTAGATCTTGGTGGGAGTAGGCGTTCTGCCAAATATCGAGGTCCTAAACCGTTTAGGGCTTTATAAGTGAGCATTATAACTTTGAAGTCGATGCGGAACCGGATGGGCAGCCAATGCAGTGCAGCCAGAGTAGGAGAAATATGTTGGTATTTTCTCACTCCAGTAAGGAGTCTGGCCGCCGCATTCTGCACCACTTGGAGTTTCCGCATCAGCCTCAAAGGCAGCCCCACATAGAGAGCGTTACAGTGGTCTAATCTTGAGATTACGAGTGCATGCACCAAGGTAACCCTTTCTTTGCTGCCATGATCCTCCTGAAGATGCTACATGCATTGGAATTGGAGCCCCCCTTGACACAAACAGAAGCTGCCTTTCCATACAGATAGCCCTTGGGAGAGAGATTTTTCCTGGAGTTATGGAGGCTGCGAGTCTTAAATGTTCCCTCCCCACCCTCCCTCAGAACGGTACTCTACACCCCCTGATGACCCCACCCAGCGGCCTCATATAGATGTTAAACAGCATTGGGGAGATAATCGACCCCTGTGGGACCCCACAATTGAGACTCCACAGGGCCGAGACATTCTCCCCAAGCTGTACTCTCTGGGATTGGTCCTCCAAGAAGGAACGGAGCCAGGCAAGCGCCAAGCCACAAATTCGCAACTCAGAGAGCCTTCCCCAGGAGGATACTGTGGTCGACGGTATTGAAGGCCGCCAAGATGTCGAGGAGGACCAACAGAGACAGGTCATCGTACAGGGCGACCAATGCCGTCTCTGTACCATGGCGCGGCCTGAAGCCTGACTGAAATGGATCCAGGGCCTCTGTTTCATCCAAGTGGGCCTGAAGCTGTTCGGCCACCACCCTCTCCACCACTTTGCTCATGAAAGAAACATTGGCGACGGGCCTATAATTGCCAATTTCGTCCGCCGCCAAATTAGGTTTCTTTCTGGAGGTTCTGGGGCTGGTGGTGATCAGAGAGCAGGTCTCCTCTTCTAATTAGGTTCCTTTCTGGAGGTTCTGGAGCTGGTGGTGGTAGTGGTGATCAGAGAGCAGGTCTCCTCTTCTGAGTGGAGTTTTCTCTGTGTCCTCGGCGCAGAGGACCTGATATGTCAGGGATGCTGAGCACACAGGCTGTATGCAGTCCTTTCCCCCCAGTTATGTAGCCTCCACCCTTTTCCCACCACAGTAATCGCTGACCAGCTGTTCTGCAAAAAACAAAAAACCAAAACAAAAACACTTCTAGAGTGATCTGGACATTGATTGCTGGATGAGTAGGAGATAGTTCTTGTTAGGTTTAAGCAGGGAAATACATTCTTTCCAGTAAGAACTAGATTGGGGGCTACATGCAGCATTCTATTACACACACTCTCTCTCTCTCACACACACACACATATATATATATATACAAACCAGAAATCCTTATACCAACTGCTCTTTCTTTGCTGCTAGCATTGCAGTATAAGAGTGCATGAGGATCTCTGGGTAGGACATTTTTGACAGTGGGGGTCACAGTTAAAGTCCTGGGAGCACAAGTTATGCACCCCTGCTGCTTTGTCCCATGCTGCTGTCCTCCTCATGAACAATTACTCCTTGCTTCTAGGCTCCTATGCCAGCAATCCTTATACCAACTGCTCTTTCTTTGCTGCTAGCATTGCAGTATAAGAGTGCATGAGGATCTCTGGGTAGGACATTTTTGACAGTGGGGGTCACAGTTAAAGTCCTGGGAGCACAAGTTATGCACCCCTGCTGCTTTGTCCCATGCTGCTGTCCTCCTCATGAACAATTACTCCTTGCTTCTAGGCTCCTATGCATTACAGGAAGGAAGCCGTGTTTGGTGTTAACAGCAGTAGTGTGCATGTGTGAGTGAAAGAGAGATTATTATTTCTAAATACTGTGGCATTGGGGAAAATATCAAAAAGAACTCTTCCCTGTGTGCTAAGGTCTAGATCCTGATTAACCCAGCATTATCAGGCTTGTTTGTTTTTTAGTGGAGAGGGAATCTTAAATAGGCTCAGATAGTTAATGTAATGTGTGGCTTGGTTTAAAGAGAGCACATACAAAGCCTAGCTACACTAGAAATAATCACAACAGCAGAGGAAGCATTTTGAACGTGGCTGATTTTTCATTAAAGTAATCACAATAATGCAAAATAATGCCGATTTGGGAAGCCAGACTAATCAGGGCTTTATGAACTCTGTAATCTCCTTCCCTGTATTCAAATCCATGCCACAAAGCTTTATCAAAAGGGATCAGGTGGTATTACTCTCAGTGGTTCACTTGATGGAGATTAATTAAGATTCTTAAAGTTTTCTCTAGATAGTTTGGATGATTATGAAGTTAATCCAAGATTCCTTTTGTGCATATGTCTCTTCGTGGGTGTTGTTCCTTTGTCTCGGATGCTTGTACAGAAACATAGGTCTGGAAGGAGGAACTTAGCAAGAAAAGCAATCCACAGCCCTTCCTTCTCGGAGATCTCTTTGTTGCAGAGATCACAAAGATCCTTCCTCTGGCAGCTTTTAGGGTTGACAGGCAATAACAGTTGCCCTGGTCCCCTTTCAAACCAAGGTAGCCCACCCTTGGCTGTCGAATGAAAGAACTGTACAAGCAGGCAGTTTAAGCCCCTGGGAAGAACAGTCTGTTCCTTCTCTGCTAGGTGAGAAGGAAGGAACCAGGGAGTAAGAAAGCGGTGTCCCAGAGGGAGAGAGAAAGAAAGAAGGAAGGAAGGGAGTGTCAGAGAAATGAAAGGGGAGACCCACACATGTTGGCTTAGGCCCAGCCAGCCCCTGACTTGCACACTCTTACCTTTGCCCTGCAGCCTGTCACAAGAGTTCCTTTTGAGCAATTGTTTCTCATCATCTCTGCTCCAAAACTAACTTCTAAGGGGAGAAATGGTTTCTCATTTCCCATTTCTTTGTGCTTCTTCATGTCCCCCGACTTTTGTCAACTGAAGGGAACAGTATTTCAAGAGTGTCATGGAGCAGATGGGCGAGAGTCATATGTGAAGAACTGCATGCCTGTGTCTCTACTTAGTTTCTATTTATTTATTTTTTTGTTTGAATCATTTGTAGGCCACCTTTCTCCCCGTGAGGCAGCTCACCATCTTAAAAGCAAGTCACGCCAAAATCACAATAAATGACCATTCTAGCTTGGTTGTGTTTTGTTTCTGGCAGGGCTCCCCTCCTCCGAATGTGGTGTGGCAAAAGGATGGTGTTCCTACAAGAGGCAGGGAGAGCATCACGAAAGGCAAGAACAACTCTGAGTTTCTCATCCACAGCACCAAGCGCCTTGACTCTGGATGCTACCGTATCGTGCTCACCAATGACTATGGACAAGCCCACTATGACATCCATGTGCGAGTGACAGGTAAGGTAAAGGTAAAGGTTCCCCTTGACAGGAACAAGAGTGCATTAAAAATCTGGGGGGAGTTGAGCTTGTGAAAATGAAACTGCGCACCATTACAGCCGTCTGTTGAAGACATGAGAGTAGCACCGAGTCCATCGTTCACATGAATCCCAAAGTCTGTATCGGGGCCAGATTTTCCCCCCATTTTTCCTTCTAGTGGGCTGCAAATGAGAACTTCTAAGCAAAACCTTCCCAGGCTGTAAACCAGAGCTCCCCTCCCATGCAAAATCTTCCAAAACTCTATATAGTTTCAAGTATCTGAACACTGGGCTGAGATAACAGCAGACACTCACAGAATGAATGAAGCCACATTCAATCTAAGGGACCAGAGGGAATGCATCATTACTTTAGAGAACTAAGGTTTCCTTTAGGGCGTCCTGTGTCATTACATATAGAAGAATCGTGTCTGGGAAGAGAACGTGCAGCCATTTGGAATTTGTTTGTGACTTTTCCAAAACAGATACCTGCGCTCTTCTCCTGATACTGAGAGCTGTTGTCCAGTTATGGGGAAATATGCAGTTTTGTAAATTAATTATTATTTTCAGTTGAGTTCATTACATTTTTATTAAGGTATTTGAAAAAAATATAGTTATAAAGAAAGAAAAATGTGCCTGGCCTTTAGGTAATGTGCACAGATACCGTATTAAGATTATTATGTGAGAAAAGGGGAAGGATTCAGTTTGGTGCCTCTTGTTCAACTCATGGGAAATATAGATGTTCTCTTTCAAATCATTGTTATGGGCCAATTAAAGGAAGTAATCCAGCAGTCTATTGGCAAACTGGGTATTTGCTTTAATTAGTATTTTCCACCTTCAGCTATTGTTCTGTGCTCTGGTGGGTTTTATGACATGGCGTAGCAGTTTCCCCTGCTGCTGGGGGGGGGGGAATCTGCTAATGAGCCATGGATGATTGTGTAGAAAAGGAGCTAATGCAGGAGACTGATGATTAATTGAACTTCTCAATTGAGTGTTGCACTAAGATGTCTGAATGTACAAAGCACATTGTAAGATAATATAGTTGTCTTTTTTGTGGGAAGGAACTACTGTAGGTGACCGTTTGCTCCCCTCTGTGGCATAGACTCCAAACTTGAGCCCCCACGGGCATACGGATGCAATATCGACCATTTTTTCACTGCTTCCAAAATAAAAGACGGACCTCGACAGAGAGAAATGAAGCGTTAACCCTTAATCCCTATTTTTGCCTTAGATTTTCCCAGGCCACCGACTAACCTGAACCTGTATGAGGAAGTCCCCAACACCGTCACGCTGAAATGGGATCACTCCCCGGATGTGAAGGAGGATGGGGGTGCCCATTACGTCATCTTGAAACGGGATAGTAGCACTGCTACTTGGTTCACAGCAGCAGAGAAAGTGTACAGTAACAAGTACACTGTCACAGGCCTGCTTCCAGGCAGGAAGTATTTCTTCCGGGTCATTGCCCGCAATGATATTGGTGACAGTGATCCACTTGATTCAAAGGATTCCTGGCATATCAACAAAGACAAAGGTAAGGAGGTATCTCAGCGTGAGCAACCTGAACCCCAGCAGTGCTTTCCTTCAGTCTTAATGGATCCTTGTTCAGTTTGCAATTCTGGAGCTAGACTATACCTTTCAAAATAATGGCAAGAAGAGATGTTTCTAAAGCTTGGAATTAGCAGGTTTGGAATAAGAATTCATCTACCTTGGAAACATTGAGCATACTTTGATTTGACAGTCATTTCCTTTAGAAGATTTTCTCCATCTCATAATACAAAACAGGATTCGGCATAAGAATTATTAAGCAATTGGGCCAGGTAGTGTCTTATTCTCAATGAAACTTCTAAAAACTGTCACTGACCATTGTGATTTTATTTATTTGTTTGTTTATTGAATTTGTACCCTACCCATTTAGTCAACTGACTACTCTGCTTTGTAGACTCATGAGCCAAAGCTCTTCCTGCTATCCACTTACTTTTGATTAAACTCTCATTGGTTCCCTTCATGAAGCAAGACTTGGTTCTGTATTCAGAACAAAGGAGAAATAATAGCTGAGGAATGCAGATAAGCATATCACTGTGTAAAAATAATACAATACTCTGGAAAGCCATTTACTAATTTGGGAGGGATCAATATATACATCATGAGCAGTAGCTAATGCAACTTAAGCTCCCTAGAAAACAATATAAAAAAGTAGTTTGTCTCCAGATGTCATGTCATATTGAAAATTTTCTCAATGAAGTTCAGTTATATAACCATAAAAAGGAAAAATATGTTTGTCCTTCCTTCCTTCCTTCCTTCCTTCCTTCCTTCCTTTTCTATGCCACCCCATTAAGCGCAAAATCACTATTCTTTATTTGATCTAAAGCTCCTCAGAAGGCAGAATATTTTAAAACATAGAGCTGGACTTTTTCCTCCTACCTTCCCTCCAGCATCCCCCTCCACAGCCTAAATACAGTTTGATGGGGTTTCTGAGACATTTCACCACAGTGCATTTCCCAAATTTGGTGAGGGTATTCTGTGACCTCACTACACCTCCAACAGTCCTGTGACCTTACTGCCTTTCCAAGATTATATGAGTATATTCCAGAATAATACAAGGACAATAAAAAAGAAAGATGAGATCAGCCAAAGACAGCTTCACTCACACTAGATATGCACATGACTATGGAGTTCTGGAATGATTTTTATCCTATCTCATGCTGTAACTTACCCAAGCAGATCTCAGATATCTTGTTTCCTAAATGAGAATTGGAGACAAATAGGATACAAGCATTTGTAATCATCAAAAACTGGTGCAGCCTTTAAGACATTACTTGCCTTCAATTCATAACAGAATAGTCACAATTAGACATGGGGACGAATATAAAAACAAATCAGGATATTCGTTAAATATCTCTGATTCATCAGATATTCGCTGCTTCATATTCTTGAAGTCCAGAGACCACAACAAATACGAAGCAATGAATATAACCCTTTTATATTCATCCCTTCATTACCTATCTGCTTATGCCCCCACAGATCAGCTGTTTTTCAGAAGCATAAGTAGAGAGGGAATCCCACATCTGGGGTGGTGGGGGCTGACTTGATTCCCCTTTCCTCCTCTTCCTATGCCTGTGCAGCATAAAAGGATCTACCAGCCGCTGCGGGATCACTTTGATCCCTGCTTTCCCCCTTCTTGCTAAGCCCCGGGGGGCTTAGCAAAAGGTGTGGGAAAGGGAGCAAAGTGCTGCGGGATCACTTTGATCCCTGCTTTCCCTCCTCTTGGCGGAAAGCAAAAAAAAAAAAAGACCCAATAAATGATTAATTGCTTTGTTGTTCCTCAGGGCACGGGGGGGGATTTGGGGTTCATGATGAAGCACCATTTTGGCAGTTTGTCCCCATCTCTAGTCACAATTATAAGACCATGATCATGTTAAGCACTCAGGACTGATATATCAGTATATACCATATTTTTCTGTGTATAAGACGCCCCCCACTTTTCTAATCCAAAATTAAGAAATCTAAGTGGGGCTTAGCAAGTGTAGGGGGAAAGGGATCAAAGCGCTTCAGGATCACTTTGATCCCTGCTTTCCCCTCCACTTGTTTTTGTTCTCTCCTCAACTTACTTCCATGTATAAGAGGACCCTCAATTTTTAGTCTAAAGATTTTAGACAAAAATGTAGTCTTATACACAGAAAAACATTTTAATTGAAACATTCCCAGACCAACATGGCTGACTGAATGATTTATTACATTTACATCCTGTCTTTCCTCCAGTGAGCTCAAGGCAACACACGTGGCTCTCCTGATCGCCATTTCCTCACAACCACCCTGTGAAGTAAGCCTGAAAGGTACTGGCCCAAGGTCACCCTTTCAGGACTTCCTGAGGCCTTGTACCTAAATCTCCTAAGTCACAATTCAGCACTCCAACCACTACTCCACATTGGCTGAGGATGTTCCCTTGACTGAACACTTTTTGAAGATGTATTGACCATCCTGTTTTGTCCACAGAGACCTTCCATGCCAATATTAAGGAATATCAAAAGCGAGACTGGCGCCAGGCCCCCCACTTCATCACCCCACTGAAGAACCATGCAGTGTGCCGGGGCCAAGACTGTACCATGAGCTGTGCTTTCTTGGGGAAACCCCGCCCTGTGGTTACCTTGTACAAGGGTAACGTCAACATCACAGCCAATTCTAAATTCTGGTACAATTCCAGCAGTGGTGTCTGCACGGTGATGATCCCCACTTGCACAGCCAAGGACAGTGGAGAGTACTCCATATTAATTGAGAATGAGCTTGGGCAGGACAAATGCAGCTGCACATTGACCGTGTATGGTGAGTTGAACTCTTTCCTTGGTGAGGGTTGACATTTCTCATAACTATAACATTTTTTAGCAGGTAACAGCTACAATCAGCCAAATGATATAGGTTTCTATGTTCAGATAACTAACACTATTCAAGCTGGCACATTTTTTATACCAGCCCAAGAAACAATATGGAATAGCATTTTTGTTGGTTTCCTGGTGGATGGCCTCAAGTACACTAGGAAATTCACCTTGCTTTGTCTTAGGATTTGTCTACAGGAAAACAAACTTGAACAGTCTTGTAATTATCCCCTAAAGGAGTGTAATTCAGCCTTTTTAACCTCCAATTAACTTTGGTAAATATAAAAGTCTCATGCCCCTTTCTGATCTGCCTTCCGCAACAATTTGGTCTGATATCTGATCCATTGTGATCAAGGTTCCCTCTAAGGTGCACACCTGCATGTGCGCAACTCTGCCCTCCTCTGCACAGGGCTCCTCCTCCTCTGCGCACCCACAGTGATAGCTTTCAGTCCCATTGGTTCCAGTGGCGGTCGCACACGCAGGGGGCTGACACTCAACCAGTGGGGCTGAAAATTAGAAGGAATGATGATTGTGACGAGATACAAATCATAGTGTTTGTAAATGTAGGAGAATATTCATTCTGATCACCAGAATGATGATCACCTGACATTCCAAGCTACACTAAAAAGACATATTCTGCTAGTTTAGCGTTACTGCTCTGGTGGAACACGATTTCTTCCAAGCCTTCTGTTTAAAATGATTTTGAATCAAATGGATACGGCATCAGTAGTGAAAGCTGGGTTATTCAGTTTCACTTTTGATCATCTGGGGCTTTTGCTTCCTCACAACTAGGTGGAAGAACGAGTGTTTGCTTGCAGTTCCAGTCTGATATTATCTGAAAAACTGAGAAAATTATTTAATGTCTGCTCTTAGTCTGCATTCTGATGGCCTTTCAAAAAAAACAAATAAATTAATTACAAGGTAGAAAAGGACATCTAATTAAATAATTCTAAGCTATTAAATGTCTTGCACCCACAGGAATAGATCTTCAAACAGGAAATTCAAATAACTTACTTGTTTGGTGCTCAGTTCACTGTGCCAGTGATATTAATCCCATTGATGGAGTTAATCAGTGCAGTTCTGTGCATCATACTCAGATGTATGTAAGCCCCACTAAGTACAGTGGAACTTACTGTCAGGATTGCAGACTTCACTGCATGTCTTATGTACTATAAGGTGTCTTGGACTGCTGTGTTATGAGCCTGACAGACAACCAGATGCTAAATGACTGCATAATAATAACCAGAAGACTGTATGATGATAAACTCAGCCATCTCAAACATGGGAATCCCTCTTGTGATTACGACCTTCCAAAATTGACTTGCCTTTCTAAAAGCCCTGCAGATTTGGAACACAGAAGTCAATATTCAACTCACCTCATGACTTGCATTTTAAGTAATCTAAATTTGGCCACAAGTGAGGCAGGATGGCCTTTATTATCCCATGCCTTTGCATCCTGGAACAAAAATTGGCAGGAAAAAAGAGTGACAAAAGGGAGGAGACTCCATTGCATCTCCCATTCAGTTAGGGCTATTTGGCATACATGGGAAGTCTCCATCAGATGTAGCAAGTTCCACTGCTCCACCATTGTGCAGGAAAAGTCATTCGTGGCTTCCATGAAGATCTTCAGTAGTCCTTGCACAATATTGCACAATAGCCTAAGGACCCTGGTACCCTTGAACATCTTCTGATGTTTCCCATGGTTACTGTTTTTAGAAGGTGACACGATGAGTCTGAAATCAGAGGCAAGGCTTTGGGATTACATTATTCCCCAATGTCCTCTCCTGCTCTAGTAATCTTGATAGGAGCAGTGCGTGCCTGTCCTGAGATTTTGACCTAGCAACCTGAAATAGAAATTTCCAAGAGCTCAGAAATAAACACTGCGCCATTTGTTAATATTTTATGAACTTTCTTTTTTAGACAAAGATGATAAAAGCCTTCTGGATTCAGTGACTGAAAGCCTGCAGAAGTCCAAGCACCTCTGGTGAACGGCGCACACAGAAACCCATTCTGACTACAGCTTGGCTTTCTCAGTAGTTCAGCGGTTCCAATTTTGCTGCGCGTGGCTTGAGCTTGGTATCATTAATTTAAATGAGACGTTGGTGCTTAGTCCCTTAACCTTGAATCTCTCATAGGGACATTTGTTTTGCCTTTAGAGCACTGAAGGACAGAAGTATGGGAAAAACAATATTGCTAATATGTAAGGCCCCTAACCATGGAAATAAAACAAGAGCCAAACATAGCTTTCTGTTTACTGTTTCTCTTCCACCTAAATCCAGTACTGGGTCATTAATTCATGTCAAGGTCAATAAAAGAGAGATGGGGACCAATCATCAATTCTTTCATTTTAGCCCGTTTTCATTAGCGCACACCACACATATGTTGAAAACTCTAGTAGGGTGACTGGGTGAGAGATTCTGGGAGCTGTAGGCTAAAAAAAAGTAACTCTTACAAGCTCTGCCACTTAGTGTCCAGGTATCTCATTATAGGTTTTATTGGGCACCCAAAAACCATTTGATGTGAACAAATAAAGGAACAGAAGTCTCCTTCAACAAAATAAAGTTGCTGTCCATGGTAGCCACATCAAGAGGTAGCAATACCCAGAACAAACTCTCTCCCCCCCCCTCGACAAAGACGTTTTAAAAGTTGTTCAATTTCATATGACACCTACATGCAGCCATTCTCACCTTTGCTCTATAAAACATGTATCAGCTGAGATTGAACTAGAGAAGCCTGTTGGTCTCCAGTGTCTGCCAGGGTCACCTCTGACCATCTCCTTAATCCTATTCAATGTACACCCTTCCTTCCTTTTAGCTACCCCATATGAAACTTTTAGGTCAGAAACTAATATTATAAGTCATCTTTGGCTGCGAGAGGGAAATTCCTAACCCATATGAGCACCTGAATCTCACAGCACAAGCTTCTCTCACCTCCAGGTCTATGCAGATGAGTTTGGTTTGTTCGGTGATTCATCTTAAATCACAGGATGCCTTTGAAATATGATTTCACAAAAGGAGAAAGACTGCCCTGGTCACCTCTCTGCAACATTGATGTGATTTCAGTTCTAATTAGGGCTATCTCTGCCATCTGTTATTACCTTAGACTGTTCTTTATATAATGAGTGTTTTAAAGCATGCCTTTTGCTTGACCTGAATTGGTGAAACAATGGTTGAGCTACAGCTGTTTTTACAATGTATAGCTTGAAATAGCAGGCTAGACAGCTGCGTGGTTTAGGTATCTGGCTGCAGAAACAGAAGATGGGGATTTGATTTCCCACTGCAAGTAGAGACAGCTTGTGTCCCAGGGCATCCCCAGAAGGAATGGTAAACCACTTCTGTGTATTCCCTACCTCAACATTTCTGAAAAGGATTGCCATAAGTCTCAAGCTTGGCTTAACATGAACTTTCCACACTCCAAAGGGAAAGGGTATTGCTTGACACACTGATCTTTTATCAGTTTTAAGTGCGAAAATAAACTACTGCAGCTGGAGAAAAATTAGTATCAAAGACTTCACCCCAATACCAATTTGTTCAATTTAACTGGTGGATTGAGCCAAGTGAAATTCTTGGTATCTTTGGCTTAGTATGTTTCAGGCATATCATCATCATCATCATCATCATCATAGAACCACAGAGCTGGAAAGGACCCTATGGATCATTGAGTCCAGCCCCTATCAAAGGCACAATAAAAAATTTGATATCACTTATGATATCACTTTGATATCAGTTATGTTAGAAATAAATTGGGCATGTTTAGCCTTGAGAAAAGCAGATGGAGGGGAGATGTGATACCATTCTTCAAGTACTTGAAAGATTGTCATTCAGAGGAGGGGCAAGATCTGTTCTCCATCATACAAGAGTGCAGGACACGCAACAATGGGCTCAAGTTACAAGAAGCCAGATTTCGGTTGAATATCAGGGAAACCTCCCTAACTGTTAGAGCAATATGACAGTGGAACAAATTACCTCAGTAGATGGTGAGCACTCCAACTTGGAAGTGTTCAAGAGAAAATGAGACAGCCATCTGTCAGATATACTTTGATTTTGATTCCTGCACTAAGCAAGGAGTTGAACTCAATGGCTTTACTCGTCTGTTCCAACTCCAGTGGTCCCCAACCTTGGGCCTCCAGATGTTCTTGGACTACAGCTCCCAGAAGCCTTCACCGCCACCTGTACAGGCCGGGATTTCTGGGAGCTGAAGTCCAAGTACATCTGGAGGCCCAAGGTTGGGGGCCACTGCATTAGTCTATGATTCTGTAATTCTATGAGGAAAGTAGCCACAGTTTCTAAGAATGTACCACTGAAATTTTAAAACCACTTTTATCAAATCGATGTCTGAATGAATCCACACTGATGAGTTATGATTATTACCAATAAATAAATTGATTTTGAAACATTTAGCCTTGGTCCATTAGAAGATCTCATGAAGTTTGTATCTCGAGTCCAGTTCATTTCACTGTTCATTACACTGCACTGAATACTTCCATGGCAACATATGGTGCATGTTGCAAAGGAGCACAACTAAATGTCATTCATGAAGACTGCTTTCTAGCAGAGACTGGTTGGCTTTCTGGCCCTCCCTACTAATGTCTAATGCTCAGTTCCCAATGAGATTAGCTTTTAATCAGGTGCCAAAGAAAAAGAGATCCATACTGGCAGTGATTTTGCTGCAGCTTGCTCTGTTTGGCTTTCAAGGGAGCTAAATGCTACACTCTTGTTTTTACATTCTGAAGTTTTCTGCAGTAACTAAACAACCATAACAGTGTAAAGTACTTAACCCAGATTGAAAAGAGTATGAGGGCTATTACAGTTCATCTTGCTCAATTCCATAGTCAACTCAGGTTTCTCAATATGGCATTGCAACTGCAGATTTCTGATTATAGTGCTGTCCAGCTTCTAATAAAGAATCTTTCCAGTGCCATTTTTAAGCTGTTTATCCAGGATGTTTCCCCCAATGCTTGAGGGCAATCTGCTTCTGTAATGTTTTTGCCCGTTGCTTCGCTAGTTGTGAAGCAACAAAGAAAATGTCTATTCCATCTTCTGCATGGCAACCTTTCAGATGCTGGGAGACGTTTACCCCTTAATATCCTCTTCCCATATTAAACATACCCAGTCCATTCAATCGTTGCTCACAGAATGTGGCTTCCCTATTAAAACTAGGCTTCTCCCGCCTCTGGTTTTGGCAGTAATATGGCAAACAATCAAGCAACAACAAATATGCTGTCTTTTTAATCAGTACCACTTTTATTCTGGAGTATTCCTTTATGCATATACAGTGTTCTACACTTAGAAGAAATATAGGAAACAGAACATTTTCTAAACTGAATAGAAAAAAAAGAAACTCAAAATGAACAATGGCAGCATTCACATTGCATTTGCTTCTGAGTTCGTATTAACTTAGTTTGGCCTTTGAAATTTATAGGCCTTATATTATTTTGTAGTTCGTAAATGGCTGAATTCTCTCAAAAAGGACTGGCTCCACGTTTGTATAGTGATGAAACATTGCTAGCAAGTAAAAAGAAAAAGAAGACAAAATTGCAACCCACAAATTCTCCAAATTCTGGGTAAAATGATACAAATGCATCCCACACAACCTGAAGGACAGTATTGAACACAAATGGAAAAGAACAGTACCATATCCAAATTTTCTAATTCATTCCCTTCTTACCCTACTACCACCACTGTGTGTTATTCCAGGCCTGATTTCTGTTACTAACGCTGATGACGTTTGTCAAGGCAATTGGGATTACAAACCTACAAAGCCATCACCGGAGTTCCTGTGTGAAGACACAAGACAGCCTTTAAAAAATCTTGTCAGTCTGAGCTTTTTGTAAATGTACTCTGCTCTCCAATTTACTCAAACCAGCCCAAAACAGCCAGAGTCATCTTCTCTGACTGCAGTCAAAAGTGCAGAACACTAGCAGATAGCTGGAAATATGTAGTCTACTGTCATGTATCAGAGTCTATGGACTTTAATCCAACACAGGTATTAGGAGTTTAAATAGGACCACAGCTTCTCCTGCTTCCAAACTTTTAGGGCAGGGGTAAGGAAAGAGCAGCAAATGTTAGAGCACTTTGAATATTAAGCAATTTTATTTCACTTTGAGCTTTTGTGGACCCAAATCCAATTCTGTCTGAAGGAATGGATTTTGATCTGTGAATGTTCACACTGAAATAAAACTGTTATTCTTTAAAGTGCTACAAGGATGCACTCTTTTCTTGAAACTATGTAAACTCTGTATATTGCTGGCAAATCTGCCTGTGTTGCTGCATAACGTGAAGGAGCCTACTGTTAATTTTGTGTCATTAAAAAAAAAACCCTCTGAACTATTTCTATAGTGATTTCCAAGCCAAAACACCCTCATACCTGCTGTTTTGCATTGGATTTCACCTTTTGTTTATCAAGACTCTCACAAAACATGAACCATGTTTTTTATCTTACTGTGAAGTGGAATCTTTGCACAACTGCAGGATATCTTCAGTGCGGTTGTTCTTTATGACAATGCTGGACATGACACAATTCAGCTTTGATATCCCACCGATCTAAAGTGGTAAGCACATGTTCAATTCTCATAGTGCCTGTCAGGATCGTGCCCTTAATATTTTTAACCAATCAGTAAACAAGCAAAAGCACAGAAAACGGGGGGGGAGGGGGAGATCACAAGTACAATGCAGTGAATAAATGGGGTTTTAAGAAAGAACAAGCTGGCTTGATAGCTCAATTGTTTAGATATCTGGCTGCAAAGACTGAAGTTGGGAGTTCAGTTGCCCACTGTACCTCCCTGGAGAAGAGCCAGCGTGTGTGTCTCTGGGCAAACTGCACGGTCCCATGTCACCCTAAAAGAAAGGAATGGCCAACCACTCAGTATTCTCGACCTAGGAAACCCTGGAAAGGGTTGCCATATGTTAGAATCGACTTAAGGGCACACAATTATTAAGTAAGCACAAGAACACCAGTGTTTTATATGCACATCATACACAAATGATTTGACAGCAGCCACATGCAAAGGCAGTACAAATCTTGCAGAGTATTCCAGTGTAAGTAAGCTCTAATCACAGCAGATGTCTGAGATGTTACATTTGCCTGCACCACCTGCATATTAGGGCTAAGTGCTTTTTCCTTTCCATTGTTAATTTGCGTTTTTCTTCTTCTGGGGTTTTGCAGGGGAAAACCCCAGTTTTCCACATAGAACAATGGGAGTTACAACTCATGACCACCGCATGAAAAAAAAATCCAGTTTTTCTGTAACAAAGTGGTATTTACGAATGTTTCTCTGCAAAAACATATGTGCAAGCTGCTAAAAATTATTTTAATACTGCTTGTGTGCATACCTCCTCCAGTAAAGGGAAGCGGATAATGTACATTAATTGTCCCTCACACTGCCCCGTGAGCTGGGTAGAAAAGCATTATTACTAAATGAATACATGCAGCGAACCAGTTAAATTGCTGGTATAAACCAATATAGCTCCTTCAGCTATTAAGGGAACTCCTTGGATTTAATGAAGCTGTGCATTTGGTGCCTAAATATCTGAGCCCAGCAGGCAAGGCCTGGGTGCAAGAACAGTCCTTCCATAATTACAGCAGATGTACACACGAAGTATACACCTGCGTTCCTACCACCATTTTTTCTGCAGAGCTCAAGTCGCACTCAAATAATTGAATGCCTGGGGGAGATCAGAATCACCAGCTGTAATGCATGTTGCTCACGCATGGAGCCAAAGTGCTTCCACAATTTACCAAAGGCAACAAAACAAGTCAAAGATGGACTTGCAGCTCCTGGGCAGAATCATGTTACAGAAATGCAGGGTGTAATGCCTTCTGCAGGATCTCTGGTTTGCAGCTGCATGAACCAGAGATTGCCCTGTTGAAAGCAATGGGGCTTCTGTGTGTACACGTGGGGGAGCAAATAAACCCTTGCCCAAACGCCCAGAAAAAAATAATGTGCAGCAGACCATGCATCTACTGCTAAAACTA